GGAGGAAAAGCCCCTTGGGGGTACGTGATGCTGCAATAGGTGACCACATGCCAAAGGGTGACCACGTGCCAAAGACACCCCAAAGCACAGAGACACCCCAAAACGCAAGGACACCCCACAAGAGGAGGAAGGAACAACGCCAAACGAGTCGCACCGCTTGTGAAAACAGGAATTGTACTTTTTTCGCAACGCAAACCGCGCGTCGTCGCAGTGACATCCGGACACGAGCGCTTCACGGACGCAGCCTTCAGGGAGGTGCCTACCACGAGTTCAACAAAACCCAACCCAGCCAGAGATCTCGCGTGGCACGTATCGCCGGGCATGGGCTGAGCGGTTTAGACATCCGAGTTATTCCAAACAAACCTCCTAACGCCGTCCAGGAGCAAACCCGGCGCACGCAACGCTGCTCATGCCTTCGGAGTGACGCAATCGGCTGCGGGAATGTTGGGTTGTTCCTCTGGGGATCTGCTGCACACACACAAACACGCCCTCGTGCACACAGCACGGGCTGGTACGTGCCCCTGCCAGGACCACGCTCGTATTTGAACCTAAACACACGCTTAAAAGTCGGGGGCACCACGGGAACCCACCTCTTTTTGCAGGTTATGTTAGAAAAACAGGAGCCCAAACAAGGCGCTGGAGGTGGGCATCTTCCTGCCAGGCGTGCACCCCACCAACTTGCAAAAATTAAAGCTCTTTCAATTGTTGTGCGTTTTTGATCATAAAACTCCCCGTGCCAGCACGCAACACGTTTCCCAAACCAACAGTCCTCTTTTTCCCCTTCCTGAGCCTCATGTTGTTACAATACAACCCGTAACTGAAAAGCTTCATTAATAATCCTCATTAATGATGATGCTGTAGCAATCACGGCGGATGGAGCAGAAGCTTACCTGGAGTAGCAGGACAGGCTGGTGCTCACGACAGTGTTAAACACTGCAATGGGGACGTAGCAGTGGTGGAAAGTGCTGTTGACCCAATCTGCTGGGAAAACGTATGCCGAGTATGCCAGCGCAGACCCTGGAGACACAGGAGGTGCCCAGTTAGTGCCAGATCCCGCCGGGACCCTCAGCATCCTCCTGGGCACAGCTGTGAACCTTCGAATTGGTGCTTGGTATTGGGTGCTCTCGGGAAAGGGAGATATGAATTAAGGTTCAGCTCTGGGGTCCCCAACATCAGAAGGACATGGAGCTGTTGGAGCAGGTCCAGAGGAGGCCACGGAGATGATGCGAGGGCTGGAGCACCTCTGCCATGGAGACAGGCTGGGAGAGTTGGGGCTGTTCAGCCTGGAGAAGAGAAGGCTCCGGGGAGACCTTCCAGCAGCCTTCCAGTACTTAAAGAGGCTACAAGAAAGCTGGAGAGGGGCTTTGGACAAGAGTGTGTAGTGACAGAACTCAGGGAAATGACTTTAAACTGAAAGAGGGGAGATTTCCATGGGATCTGAGGAAGAAATTCTTCCCTGTGAGGTTGGTGAGGCACTGGCACAGGTTGCCCAGAGAAGCTGTGGCTGCCCCATCCCTGGCAGTGTTCCAGGCCAGGTTGGATGAGGCTTTGAGCAACCTGGTGTAGTGGAGGGTGTCCCTGCCCATGGCAGGGGCGTTGGAACTTGAAGGTCCCTTCCAACCC